TAAGAAATGTAAATGAAGATATTTGAAGTATAAAACCAATGAAAGCTTGAGTAACGTTTTGCTCGTAGACCCAGCAAACACTGAAACAAATGGTTAAATAAATGGGGCCTGATTATCTCAAAACATCAGTGACTTCCAGATTTGTCAGTTATTTCATAGCCAATATGATAAAAATTCTGATTTAGAAACACATATTAGAGAGGTAATAAAGCTAGTTTAATGTGAAGCACAAGGAAAGTGTGTTAAAGGAGCAGCCAGATTTAGGGCATCAAATATTCAATGCTGACAATAATAGCAGGCATAACTGTAGCTACTCTTTTTGTAAGAGTTTTCATAGCACTATGTATATGCTGCTACAGATCTTGCTTTGTCACTTGACCATCTGCAGCTGCTTCACTCTAGCCCCTAGTGAGTTAGTGTCCATAAAGTCCATCTTAATGAAGTAGAGAAAAGGGTCTTCAGGAATATAAAAGATTTCCCTGCTTAGCATGAAGATGTGTGCAATGTAAAATAGAAAGCAAGTGGTGCATGTGCTGATATTTGAAGAGAGCAATGGTCTAAATAGCCCCATTTAAGAGACTGCTAAATGTGTGTGGCTCACGTAACATGACAGACAGCACAGTTTGGCTCTTTGATATATATATGTTCACATAATAAAAGCACTAAGACCTTTGTTACCTGTATTCCTGACTTAGTGTGAGCATTGAGTTTATCGATATGTGAAAGAAAAAAAAAATCAAGCATATGTTAAGTTGCTCAATCAACCTTCTCTCAGTACACTTTTAGTGATCTCAGTAAGTCCTTGCGGGATAATTACAATTTGAGTGTGATGCACTGTTTGTGGAAAAGGCTCAAATGTTTAATGAGAGCAGTGCTATAATTCCCCTTCAAAAAAAAGAAAAAAAGAAGAGGGGGGCGGTGGGGGGAGGAACGTAGCCAGGAAATCAGCCATTGTTAACTGATATTACAAGACACCCTGTAGATTCACATTCAGCTATATGAAAACAGCGCTGAACAGAATGCCTACTAGGGGTTAAATTCATATGCCTGTGCTGCAGCCTACTTCTGTCAACACTCAGCTCAGGAAATAAACATTTATGCTTTCTGAAATGAAAGTGTATTTTTGAAGACTAGCCGTCAGATATTTTTTGCCCTTCACACTTTCAAATGCTTAGCCTTTTTTGTAAGTTGACTGCAAAGTGCATCAGTTTGCTAGGCAAAAAAAAATAAAAAAATCTTGACAAGTGCCCATGGCATCATTGTCAAGCACATGAGCTTCTAGAAGAAGATGGCAGGAGGGTTGGCACAAAACATGCTTCCTTCAAGCTTATTACCTCAGGGGTACCTGACTCTTGAGAAGCTTTTCAATCCGTCCAAATGACGTTATTCCAAACTGTCATCTGGTTTATTTGGAGCACACTGTACTGCAGATAAGCATGCTATTTAACTGCAGGTCAAGGTACAGAGTCATTCTGCTAGCAAATGCCTGAGATACATTAAATGGCACCAAGTTGGGGCAGGAGATGAAGAGAAATCAAAGTCATCACCAATGTGCGTGGAATAGTACATGCTAAGCGGGGAGGAAAAAGCACCACAATATGAATGTGCATTTAAATCCATGACCTGTCAAACACCGGGGATTAAGGAGCTGTGCAATGCACTCTATAATGCAACAACTTATGTCTGTGTGAAAAGAGCTCACTGTTATGAGCTGGAAGCATTTAATTAGTCCAGATAGCTGGAAATGTATTTAACACATAGTTTGGAGGTCTCTTTTCAAATAAATTTTCATTAGAAAATATTGACTTGTCAGAAAAAAGCAACTGATGCAGCAATTTAATATTAGTTTCTACTTGGAAGAATTATTATTTGGGTTATTAGTTTAGCTTAGTATTTTTAATGAAAGCACCTCAGGTATTCAATTATTATCATTTTGATTTGATAGTAGCGTCATCACCATGCCAATAAAAATATGTTTAAATACGAGATTTAAAATATTTTTTCACTGAAGTTGCTTGTGTATTTCCAAGCTGGTCCTTTTGCTTCCTGTTACCTTGATACCATTAGAGTTGTAATACAAAGAGAAAGGTCACATGGGTAAAGTTAACGGGATCAGATCAAAAGTTTGAGAAGAAATAAGGGAATAAGGTTCTCAATTTAAAAATATCTCAGTATGTAAATATGTATTCCTACATAGCCCTTACTCTCATTGTATTGTGTTGGGATATAACAAAAGGACAGTTGTATTATAAACACACCATTTGCTTTCCAAATTTTCTGACAAAAAGGAAAAAAGGTTAATTACAACATGATGCTTTCCCTTGAGGAATGTCCTTAAGAGTTAAAGCATGCTTTCACTGAGTAGCCTTCACAGAGAAAGTTGCCTTTAATAGAGAAGGAAATGACTACACATGCACCTGCACACACACAAACGCACACACAAAACTGTAAACCACAATGTGCTCCTGTTTCCTAATTATATATATATATATATATATATATACACACATATAATATACATTAAATATATATTCATTATGTTATATTTATTTAATATATATTACAGTGTGTTTTAAAGTTGTCAGTTTCAACAGTGTCAATGATTTTGAAGCTTCTCCTGTGAAATTTTTGTTAACAACATACAGTACAGTAAATCACAAGCAGTGTCCTATTTTTTTTCTGTACAGGGTGAATGTGACTTCCTCTGATTGAAGCACATGATAAATGTGGTCCTGAAACATTCAGTAATTTGTAAAAACTCAGTACAAAATGAGAGAAGTACATACAAGAAGAAAGTTGAGGGGGTTTCAGAAAAATAGAAAGGAGACAAATTACAAGTTCAACTTTTAAACAAAAATCAAAACTGATTTTATTGCTTTTTGCTTAATTAAACTCCTCAGAAGTGTGTGAAACATTGTTATGGCTGAAAAATTGTTAATTTGTAAATCACAGGGACAAAAGGGCTCTACTGCAACTTTAAAGTTTCCATGCACGTAAATGTCAATAGAGTGCCTTCTCCATCATCAGCACTAAATTCACATTGATGCCTCTTTTCTTCTCTGTATTGATCCTTCCATGAGAACGTAGATTTGTATCTGTTAATTAATGCGTCCTGAAACAGCGTTTGTATTAATCAGGCAGATAAGAAAAATTGGATGCCTGCACCCTCATGACAACCGTAAAAGTGCTGGCCCTGATAAAATCGTGGATGGACCTCAATAAAAAAGTTCCTCCTTCCACTCAATAAACTAATCATCCTGCTTTTAATTATTCGGCAGAAAGATGTGTGGAGATTGGAGAATGTGTAAATCTATTTACTAACAGCAGTGTCTGGGAGGGAGAATAGGGCTGTCACAGGACAGTGCTGCAGGCTACGTTCTCTGTCCATCTGCTGCTGCAGAAAAACTGGTTCTTGAGATGAGGGAAAGGAACAGAAACACAGCAGCTAATTGAACGCGTGCATTCCTCCTTATAAACCTTTCAAATGATTATTCCTTTCCTGTTTCCCTCTTATTTATTTTAATCATAGACATGCTGTTTTCCAGTGTCACTTTTTTAGGGTTTTTTTGTTGTTGTGATGGTTAGCTCAGTTTGGGGTGGTTTTATTTGGAAGGCAGGGAACTACTGTTCTGTCACAGGGCAGGAAAGGCAGTATGAACAAATGAAAACAGATAAGAGAGGGAGTACAACCAGTTTTGTGTTTCAGCCTTGTTGATGCTTACAGCTTTGGATACATTATTTTGAAAGAAAAGTAATATTTCCCTCTCTTAGTACAAGAGAGAGAATCTTGCTTGTAGCGAATGCCTGTATAGATTTGCCTGTTTCTGTCATATCCTTACTCCAGACTTTCAAAACAGGAGCAATGCATTGAGGTATAATTGAATAACAAAAAGACTGTTTTTGCTGCGGGAACCCTGTCAAAGAACATGTGAGCAGCTCCATAAACAACTACATGAAAGCTTCAGACATGTCTTAAGACCCCCTCAAGAAAAGCTTGACTAATCCCCTTTGATGATTTTATTAAGTACTTGTGGTTGATGGTGCCAACTGGCAAACTACTACATTTCACCAACAGGCCAGGAAATCACTTCCTCTCCCATATTGTTCTGTACCTCCTAATGTGATTGGGGATATTAGCAGTTTGATATAATAAATAAACAGCTACTGTAAACAAGATCCTGAAAAGGTAAGACAGTAAAGATGTTTGCCCCTAGTGATCCTATTAAAAAAGAGAGCAGAAAAAAGGAAAGCAAAACTTAAATTTATTAAGAGGCATTATTAAATTTTCTCTCTCCCTCACAAAAATGATGGTGTGATTGCTATTCACTTGGCACTTTAATGTGCCATCCTGTTATTTCAGCAAGCATAGTAGAGGCAGAAGCCATTACAGAAGTAATTAGCGTCTTTTTCTGAAGAGGGTAGGTCTTACTTCTCTTTCTGCTGAGGTTGAAGTTCAAAGAGCACTTTGCTCATTGTGATAATCACCTTAATTCTATTAAGGCATCCAATCTTCCCTCTGAAAAAAGTTTTTATCGAAAATATCCTTCTTGGCTTAAAGGGGGCCTCTGACATCATTGCTTCATTCTCTTTACAGCACCGATGAACAGAGCCAAGAGTCTGCTAACAAAAGCCCTTTGGACCAAAGCTTTTTATTATCTTACTTGTTAGATGACATCAGATCACAGCCGCATAGCATTAGATTTTAGAACGTTTCTACTAAGGAGAGAATGTGCAAACCATTCTACATTGCAATTATAACTTCCCAGATTACTGTAACTCTTGCAGAAAATGCCTACAGATTCAGGCTGGCTTTTAACTTTTACCTTGAATAGAAGCCCTTTAATTTTATGCTGGCTGATCTTGAAGAGGCAGGGAAATCTGTGGAGTGCATTTATACCAATTGGTAATTTCCCTAAAAACAAAATGACAGAAAATTCTTGTTATGATGCAGAGATTTGATGCATCAACACCTGTTTAATATTTTTCCTTGCACTTTGTAGGTTTCTCCACTTTGTCTCTGGCTGACCAGATGAGCCTTCTGCAGAGTGCTTGGATGGAGATTTTGATTCTGGGTGTTGTGTACCGATCACTGCCTTTTGAAGATGAGCTTGTCTATGCTGAAGATTATATAATGGATGAAGTCCAGTCCAAATTGGCAGGCCTTCTTGACCTCAACAATGCCATCCTGCAGCTGGTAAAGAAATACAAGAGCATGAAGCTGGAGAAAGAAGAGTTTGTCACCCTCAAAGCTATAGCGCTTGCTAATTCAGGTTGGCAGATTGGCATGACGGTTACTACATTTTTTTCATGTCACCTTTTCATTCCAATAATACCTTCTGTATGGTTGATCTCACTATGTTTTAGGAATAATTAATTGTTAATCAGAGCTTAGGTGACCGTGGGTCTTCTGCTAAAAGGCTGCAAAAATGCAATTCAAATTAAGGAAGATTTTTACAGTTTTAAGCAGTAGAACATATTACTAATGCAGTAAAAATAATACACTGGATAATATGGAAGGTATTATACAAGCAAAGATCCTTTCAAATGAATATAGATGTTGTTCTACCAAATCCATTTCATAATCCAGATAAGTCTAATCATTTTACTTAAATTGAATGGATGGAGGCAAGATTATATGGAATATATGCTCTCCTTAAATACAGCTACTAAACATATTGGTAAAGTGAACCCAGGGTACGTGCAAAGGAGGGAAATCCCTGTTTAATCTTTAAGGGACTATATTTCACTGTATGGATCCCCTATTTTATACTAAAGTTTCACTAAAATATATTACTTGTGCAGAATGGGTTAAGAATTGCAGAAAGTATTTTTTTCCACATTTGAACTTAAAAGTGCTGAAGCAGTGAACAGTGTCTGATAAGTAAAAATCGTTGGTGCTTTGTTGTTTTTCCTTTTGTGTCTCCTTAATGCTTTATTGTGGTCTTAAGTCCCTTTTAGCATTTGCATAAAGTTCACGATAGATCCCTCTTTAATGACGTGCCGATCATTAGATACCTGTGTGTCAATAACATGCTCTGATGCTATGTACCATTGACAGTCACACCGTGCCCCTCCATCTGCTTTTGTTTTGACCCTATCTTTGAACTTTATCTTGGTTGCTGGCCAGTAGTTTTCCCTTTAATTACAAGAAGGAAACTGTCAATAAAATCTGTTAAATGGGATGCAATGAGTGGCTTGAATGGGCGGACGGCTATTTGTTCAAATTCTGCAGCATTCAAGGTATTGACAGTTTGTTTTCTGGGGCCATATGTGACGATCAATCTCAGGCTGGGCTCAGCCGCGCTGAAAAATGAAAAACCAGATTGCTTTTGCTTACTTGTGGATGACGACTTGTGATTTGGCGCGGTCCTAGTGAGATGAGACCTTCTGCCCAAATTGCCCCCCTGAGAGCCAGGACGCGTGACTGTTTTTAGAAATAATTTTTTAATTGATTTTGTAATTAACAGTTCATCTACAATATTGATGCACAAATCCTCAGATTGATAGGAGGGAAATTGTTTTCAACAATGAAGTTGTACTTTTCTGTTTGTCTTTATGATATGATTTAGCACTTGGCATTTTTAATGGGAAATATAATTCAAAAACATGCAAAACAAAAAGTGCTATTCATTTCTCACAAAAAACCCTCCATTCCCCTGATTGCATCTTCTTAATTTAATATAGCCTTTTATTTTTAACCTAGATACAGTAATTCTGATGTACCACTCAGTGACCAAAACCCATCTTTCTTTTTTTTCTTGGAACTGGATTTATTTTTGACCAAAGCATGGAAAGTTCAAAATATTTCTCACTTACAGGAAAAGCATTTCCTAAGATTATATTCAATGAACAGAATATCAAAATCATGACATTTTAGAAGTCTAAACTGAACACTTTTGTACTGTTTTGCTTTTTAATTTGCAAATATAAAACTATTTGCACAAGAAATATTTCTAAAGCTTACATAAGAAAGAAAAAAGTAGAGGGGTAAGAAGCTAAGTATCTCTTTTTTTTCCCAGTGGTAGTGAGTAGTAATGGATGACTCTGTAAGGCATTATTTAAAAGAAAGTCTAATAGTATGTTCTACATATAATGAGCCACAATAAGCTGTAGCTTAATTGGTTGCAATTCCTATAAACTTAAACGTAAATTATAACTAGGATAATGTCAGTGAGAAATATGGTTTAATGTACTAAATTCAAAGCATGTTAAAATGAAAACTCCTCCTCCCCATATTTTAATTAAATCATATGTTGATTTTAACCTAAACTAATGGAAAGAGGATATGAGATACAAGACAGCTACCTTACACCAACTTGACTTTGTTTTAACAGAATATTTCCATTGCTAGCATTAAAGATTTCAGTTTAAGTTTGCACATACAACTCAGGTTGTTAGATATCTGACTTCTACCAATCACTGTACTCATATATAGAAGTGAAATTGCCCCTGCAAAACTATAACCTCCCTTTAAAAAAATCAGAGGCTGCAAATTCCACTAAAAGACCAGTATGATCTTTTTCATATAAAAAATAGGAAGCTAATTCAGTGTTACGTTAATTTGATTAATGTGAACGGGGTCTAAAATAGGACTCTGAAAATCATTATTTAGTCATTTGGTTTTAAACATATTTTGTTGTTGTCACATCTTTTCCTTCAAACATTCCTCGCATTGCTTGGGGATTTATTTTCTCAGCTTAAAATTAACAGACTCATTTTATATCTGTAGCGGGGTGGAAAGGATCACATGTAGTGAGAAATCTTGCAGCTTTTATACACTTTTTGTGTGATCAGTTTTTTTTTCTAATAAAAGTATCCTATTAACTCCGGTATATACAGTTAACAAGGTGGGGGGGGGCTTCTGACATTGTGTCTGTATTAGTGATTTATGATATAATGTTATATTGTTTTCATTGCTGGTATTCACCAGCAGCAAGAAAGGTACAGTAGATTGTTTTAATTTTGATTGAATTAAATAAATACCATAAGGTTCTTTGTTTTTTCCAACAAAACGAAGTAGCTTGAAATACATATATATTTAAATATTAAGTTCTTCTAGGATATGCTTAAGCAGTTTCTACACTATAATATCTGAATTACCCTGTCCCATCTTCTTTCTAAAAGTAGTGGGAAGGTAGCATACTGAGGTAATGATTAGCAACATTTCACTTTTACATGTTGGCTACAGTAATTTTGCTTTCTATTAATTTTCTAGACTTTGTATTAAATAATATTTAGTTACAGATGAAATAAGAGTTCACCAAAAGTCTGCAAAGCTTATATATCTACATAATAGCGTAAGTGGTTGTGCAGTTTATACTGGCAACCTGTGTACAGGGAAATATATAGAGACATGATTGCAGTAGTTTGTTTGTGATCTGCAGTGCTTAGTATGAGATTTATCTAAATTATCAGCTTAGTTTTAAACATCTGGCTTGATTCAATAATAATTAATGCACTCTTTATGCTTGAATACCAGCAAAGTGACTCACTGGTAATGGTTGTCCTGTCAATATTACTTTTTTTTTCCTTCCTTCCTTTTTTCCTCACAACTTCCCAACCAGACATAAAAGCAGACAAGCAATTATGCACTGCCCAAATGAAACAATATGGTACCAATGAGCACTTTGTTTATTCGCACAGAAAAACAACTTTGAGCATTTTCCAAAGCATGCATGCACCAATTACTTCCTCAGGCATAGATGAAATGTCTACAGAAAGTATGTGAGTGTGTGCGTGCACATATGTAGAAGGTGACCCGCTCATCTCTCTGTGTTATTACAAAGTGCTCTCCTATATTGATTAGGTAATACTAAGCAGAGAGATGCAGGTGAGCAGTCTTTTTTGGAACTGCTTATTCAGTAAAGACCAGATTATTCCTTTAGCACAGAGTTTTCTAAAGAACTCAGCATCCATGAATGGTGCCAGATTTTTCCAGATAGTTCAGCTTCTATTTAGGCACTGGAGCAAATGGCCAGATTTTCCGAAGAGTTCAGAATGCTTGAAAATCTGGGCCCTTTTTACGTGCATAAATGAAGCTTGAAGTCACAAAAAATCTGGCCCTGTTGTGGGTGATGAAAACTGACCACTCTCGGCCCAAGTTTAGTTAAAAATTTGACCCTAAGCCCCAGCCCTAGGCCAGAGCTTCACCATCTTAAGCAACAGAAAGACTTTCTCTGCTCTGCATTGCGGACACTTATCTGAATAATATACCCAAGGAGACAGAATCAGGAATTCTCTTGTCTATCAGAGTACACTGAAATACAGGACAGACATCAATTAAGTAAACCTCCCACTTAGGCCATTTGCAAATTTGGCCCATACTGGCAATTTAACTTGCTTTTCCTTCCCCACAATTCTGTACTCAGAGCAATGAGATATTACTCCTGTGAAATAGTGCTTTCATGTAAATGTTTTTGTCCAAACCACACAAACTGCCTCTTCCATGGAATCTATATTTTCTTTCTTGCCAATACAGACTCTGGTATATGGTATATTGTAATAGAGTGTATCTAGTTTGTAGGGATGCCATCTTTTGTGGGTAATTTAATGCATGGTATTATTTCTGGATCATGTTAGTGTTAGAATTCATACATATGCATCTGCAATAGTATCATCAATATGTACAAATATATCTTGTGGCTAATATAAGTAGCACAAAGAATTAGCTGCTTTCCTGTTATACTGTAGAATGTCTGATATATGTCTAAAACACAAATATAGGAAAGATTGTCATATGTTCATGTCCCAGGTTGATTTTTTTTATATTATCATATAGATGACATCCAGATTTTTTTAGATATGTTCCTTTTTACCCTGCCTGCTAGTACTTTATTAAGTAGATTTTTCTCTGGAACCCAAATTATCACCTGAGCACCTAAAACAAGTGTTTTCTTATTTGTGGATTTAGACAGATATTATTCCCATTGTATACACTATGAACAGGAGGTAGCAAGAGATGAAGTACCCAGAGCAACTCTATGCCAGAACTGGTAATAGTATCAAGTTCCTTAGTGCCCCTGCCTTAGCTAGACCCTATCAGCCATGCCCGTTGGCCACATAGCAAACCCAGATCAACCAATTAAAAACAGTTACATTAACCATGGTGGCACCAACACAACTGTGAATACACTTGGTTATTCACTCTGTTTTTACTGCAGAATACAAGTAGCTCTTTCTCTATGTTACAGTGATAGTTGGTTCGTTCATGGGAGGAATAGGACTCAATGTTATCCAACCAACTTTGTCTTTCCTTTGATATCTTTCCCTG